AATTTGCGTGAGATTTCGATCTCTGCGTACGCGCGGACGAATCACTCGTTAGTTTTTGCTTGAGATTTAAATAGGGCATGCACGCTCAATCATTTCTGAAAGCGAGCGCATAATAGATAATTTTGCAGTATTGATGCAGTGTCCATTTAATGTTCTCTGCAAGATCTTCCTTATTAAAAAATATGAAGTAATGAAAATTTTAAAGATTTACCGATTCAGGTAACTAATATAGAGCGTCTAATGCTAACATTTTCCTTAAGAGTCACGGGATTGCTACGGGTCCTTAAATTTGTAAATATTTAAATTGACAATTGATTAGCCTATAAACTGTGATTCGATTTTGATGGCTATTATAGGACGGCAAGGTTTCATAGTTCTATTATAATTCTATAATACTGCAGTGCTATTCTATAAGAAAAAACTCACATTTCACCTCGGAATCGGCGATGTGATTTAAAATTAACACAAGAATTTCGTGGTGAAAAAAGAGTTTGTTCTCACAGAATAGCACTGTTATTGTCAAACTAATGTTTAAGATGCTAGTAGAAATAAAGGCAGTACAAAGCCAATTTATGGAACAAATTTGATAAAATGACAGGATCGGCGCCGGCGCCACGCGCTATGTATTAAAGTATGATTAACGAAATTGCGCATGGTCGCGTCGCGTCTGGGTGTTGTTGGTAAAGTTTTAGCGATCGGCTGGCCGGTGTTGGGTTCATTGACACCTCGTTTGTACATGCCATCGCTCAGCGGTAAGGTTTAACTACAAAATTGGTACCCTCCAGTAATTGCGAGCAGTTTACATGTAATGTTTTTAAAGCAAGTATTTCGGATGCGCTAATGCAACCTTTATAAGACTTTTAGCGTTACTACGGAGATTAATGTAGCAGATAACCGTTAATTATAAATTCTGTTGTTAATTGTTATTAATTATAAATTCTGCTATAATTTCTGAGCCTCTGTTTGGAAAGCAGCCCATGTCTGCAAATTATCTTAGACACGGCTAATCCTAGCCGATTTTCCTGAAATGACGTGATACTTACTTAAATTACAGCCGTTTTCAATCATGTGACATTAGATAACTAATGGAAGAAATAGATCGTATTATTTTCATTGAATTATTAATGAAATTCTGTACTCCGTAATATAGTGGCTATTACGGTTATAGAAATTGGTTAAAATAATAATAATGTTAAACTGTTGTTTGCCAAGCACCTTGTCCACGCTGAGCCTACTTTGGGCATTGCCCTTTCATATTAATCCATTCAGCCATTTTTGCGCGATATACAAACTTTCACATGTATAATATTAATAGGAGGACAATAATATTTGAAGTTTTTGAATGAGTTGTCTCGATTTCTCCAGTATCTCAGCATGAGGCCCTGGCTTGGCCAATATGTGACCAGCTCTCGATTATAATTGAATTTAAAAAAAAATGTAAATAAGTCTACTATTCATGACGGTTATTTTATACAAACAAAACACATTTCTTCTTCTCCTCCTTTTTTGATAGTTAAAAATTTTAACAACACTGCTAAACCATTTATTTCTAACTTTTTAAACACTAGGCAAAACCCTAAACACTTCCGACTCACTTTGCTTCCGTTTGTTGTTTTTAATCACTCACAGTCCCTCCATGAATAATTATCTGACTGAAAAACTAGACTTAAAAAGCAAAAAATCATTCGGTGATTTTTAAAATTAGCGCGAATTACACATTCTTACGCGGCGAAGAACTTCGTTATACCTCTCACCCCTCGTTTCCATAAAAAAAACAAGTCGTATACTAGTCATAAACAAAACTTATAGAATACTTGTTGTGGCTGTTCAAAACATTATTTCGTTTACACTTACAAATATAAATCACTTATGAACTTCACATTTTTTGTTCATCCAACAAGTTTGATGCAAGTATTGTATACTTCATGTTTTATAAATGTATATAAGTGTAACCAAAAACTTAAGACATTGTTTAAAATTTGTTAAATACATATATTATACCTTGGCATAGACGAGTGGTAATAAACTTGGAAACAAACTTTTTAAAAAGTAAACGTCCCAATGGAACTATTCGTGGAGTCCTTAAGAAATCCTTGATATAGTTATTCAGTCATCACAAATTGACTCTAGCAACCGTACTCAGAAACGTTGAATTAATTTAATGCTTCATTAAGGCACTAGTTGTCTTAATGTATTGTTATCGCAGAGTAAGTGTCAGTATCCACTTAATCGATAATCCGTGGCCGGGTGGTTATATACTCTGGGTTACAAGGCGTGTCGCCTACTCAGAGGTCCCAGGATCGAATCCCGGTGGGGACAACTGTTAGTACCTTAGTCATGGATGTTTCATATACTTCCAGATAAAATATACTTGATACAGATAGATATAAAAGTATCAGTATATATGTATTCTATTCGTTACCCTGTATCCTATAACACAAGCCTTACAGTGTTTACTTTGGAGCTAGGCTAATAGCTGTGAGTGTGGAATAAAAAAAATAAACTTAAATCAAACTTGAAAGTTAATTGACTTCTCTGCGTGCGGTCGTAAGCATCATAATGTAAACCTGATGTAAACTGTCCGGCTCATGCCATAAATCTAAAGTGAGCTACTGTCAATCCAGCACTGAGAGGATTTGACATTCAACTGTCCAATAAATAACTCATTCGCGATCTTAAAATAGCCACAAGTTCAAAGGGTTCTTTCTCATGTAATTATACATAATATTTACTAACTTACATATGTTACTATTTAAGGAGTACTACTCAGTAATAATTATACTTTTAATGATTTGGAGTTTTTTTGCTCTTTTTTCTCCGCAGTTAAAAAATATGTCTAACTAGAGGTCGCCCGCGACTTCATCTGCGCGCGTTAACTTAGTTTCTTGAAAATCCCTCTGGAACCTATCATTTTTTCGGGATAAAAGTAGCCTATGTGTTAATCTAGAGTGTCAGCTAACTCCATACCAAATTTTATTAAAATCGCTCCAGCCGTTTAGACGTGAAGAAGTAACAAACATACACACTCACATACTCACACACACACAAACTTTTATAATATTAGTGTGATAACGTACAAGTGGTAGGAGAAAGAAATTTTGGACTATTCATAAGAATTGTACTATACGTCCAATTTTAATAAAGATATATTGGTTTTGGTACTTCGGGTGTTTTTGTGTTATGATATGCCTTTAAAGAGTATAAGAGTATATATAAGTAGCATATTATTCTTGTTAATGGTAAGGGCTGTTTTGCAGAACCTGCCACATCTGCGCGATAAGGCTTTGGGTGTCTCTGGTACAAAATGCGCTAAGATTAGTGTCCGAAATTTTAATTAGTTCTATCGTAATAATTTATCGGGCTATGTATCCATAGACGCTGGACTATAGCTTGACCGGCGATAATTCGACGCATAAAGAGATTGTGGTAGACGATTTTACATTATGCTCCCGAAAAAAAAATCTTTTGAAAATGGGATTCTTTAACAAAATATCTGCCGCTAACCTTTTATTGTATAAATTAACAAAGAAGATAGCGAGAAGCTTCCAGAAGCTAATATGTATCATAAAAAATACCATTTTTTTTTTTTTTCTTCACATGAAAAAAAAACAACAAAATTTTTCAAAACAGGTATAATTTTATAAAAATCAACTTGGCTTTCAAAATTAAAGTAACTGGTTATACTTATAAATTACGCCTTACAAATAAATGTTCGCAAATAAGCAACTTCGTGATTGCCTATTCGATAAATTGCCGCATTGATACTGAAAATTATTACACTAAGAAATACAGTTCAACTAGGAGACAAGAGCGTGAAATCCATAGCCCACATCCCTATTGGACGACCTCCGTGGCCGAGTGGTTTGTACGCCGGGTTTCATGGTGTCGCCGACTCGAGAGGTCCCGGTTTCGTATCCCGGTGGGGGCAGATGTTAGTGTGCTGAATACGAGCATTATTACTCCAGTCATGGGTGTTTAATATGTATCTTTATATATATAATTCTTCTGTGAGTGTGTATGTCACTGAACTTCTCTTAAACGACAGGACCGATTTTGATGAAATTTTTTGTGTGTGTTCAAGGGGATCTGAGAATGGTTTAGATTCACAATTTTGTCCGCTGGACAACCCCTATTTTTTTAGGGCGGTACGAAGTTCGCTGGGTCAGCTAGTTTCTATATAAATATACCTACTTATATATGTACAGTATATTTATTCTATCCGTTACCCTAGTATCCCATCACACAAGCCTTACAGTGCTTACTTTGGGGCTAGGCTAATTGGGGTGTTGAAAAAAAATGTATTAAGCTACTTTATATGATGAATTACTTTTTTCCTCCTGATAAACTCAGAAAAAACTAGATAGTAATACATTGGTATTACTGAAGTAAATTAAACAACTTAAGTATCGAATGCAGACTTAAAAATCGCCTTCTCGCATTGAAGTAGATTGTGGCACAGCCAAATGTAATAGTTTTACAAATAAAAACATAAAAATTACAAATTTAGAGTTAGCAACTCTGGTAAATTTTTGACTCTACAAAATATGTAGAGCTTATTTTGTTCTGCATAGCATTGTACCGTTTTTTTGGAGAGATATCAAAATACTTCACAAAACCAATTTTCATATGTTTGATTTGAAATCGTACCTTAAAACTGAATTCCTAATAAAGTATCACCCGAACAAAATGAAAAACAAAATATCTGCCATATCAAAATTTAAAATTAATAACAATTTATCATTTTGCCCTATAGGGCAAAATAGCTGGCTGGCCTATAAGTGAGAGCAGAGAATTAGCCCTAAATGGTATTTTTTGAAATATTCTCATTTTAAAGCACAGGCAGCATAAAATAAATTAGGTGTGTTTATTATTATTGCAGACTTTAAAGTAATAAGTCATTACTGACTGTAATATTTCTTCTAATAACTAAACACCTTATAATTGTTTCTTTAAACCTATTCTTAACCTGAAAAAAGTTTTCTTATCTGTTTGTAACTCACCTTAAGTTAGAGAGCCCCATTTCTATAGCAGCATGCCAAATATCACACCTTTGTAGGTAGTCCTCTATTAGAAATACAATAAAAAAAAAACACTAAAACAGCACTCAAAATGTCAACGTAGCACAGAAGAAAAAAGTTCGAATATCGGAATGGAAAAAGGGTTCTAATTTTGAATTTCCCGCGCGATCGCGACTAGTGGCTCGGTGCTTTGACGCAGGCGCGTCGGCGATGAGTGCGGGAACACTGCGCAGCCTCCGACGCCGGCGCATCCGTCACCCCGCCCCCACCACTGTCATTCATGAAAACCTCAATGAACTTGCAAAGCTGCGCGCTTCATTGTGAAACCGCCTTTTCAGACTATATACAGAGGCTCTTTTGTTTTAACCTCTGACAAGCGAAGCTTTATTTCCTTGTTTTTTCTTTAAAACCGTGCCATGTTAAACTTTAAAATTTTGCAAATAATAACTCCTTTTAAAAGAATTCACGACTAATAAGTTATTATTCTCAAGTTTTAATTCAATATTTTTGTGTGTATATTGCATGATTCCACTTCTGTGGTTCACAAATTAATAATATTAATTTAAGATACAAAATATAGACTTCAAAAATAAAGATATAATACATACATATAAAAAATTAGAAAATAAAAATTAAACAAAACTAATCAGTGAATAAGTTATGCGGAATCGGTACCGACCAAAACCCTGTTATTTATGCTCAACGACCTCCCTAAAAGCTCAATTATGCTAATAAAATCCCGTCCCTTTATTTTTTATGCTAACAGATCTGTAATCATGAAAAATGTTATTTGTCTGTCGGTTGATAACACTTAATTCGCCTATATTTTTCATCATAATCATCATCAGCCTATTAATGTCCCCACTGCTGGGACACAGGCCTTCCCTATGGATGGAATAGGGAGATTGAGCCATGACCCATCTCGCGGGCCCAGTGCGGATTGGCAGGTGCTAACGACTGCAGATGCAGCCGGGACCAACGACTTAACGTACCTTCTGAAGCACGGAGGAACTCGAGATAGAAGGTTTTTGGTCACCCATCCAATGACCGACCACTGCGAAAGTTGCTTAACTTCAACAATCGCAACCGAACGCGCTAACCACCTACGCCATCGAGCTCCTCCTATAATTTTCATTCGAGACTTAAAATTATATCAGTTCTAGCTAAACTAAAAAACGCCTAATCGTGAATTTGAGAATTATTAAGAGGCATCATTATTTTTGCTTTCAGTATCGAAAATAGGTAACCACACCCGATTATTTTATCAGTTAGGCATTATAATGTCCGTTTTTATTAATAACATTTTTGTAATGGGAATTCACATAATTATTCGTAAGCTGTGTGTATATTTTACGTATGAGGAAATAACCGAAGAATCAATTTTTAAGCTGATGTTACCTACATCCTATCCCGATTATGATGAATACTATGTTATACATAGTAAAATAATTGTGATATTTTAAGTTACTTATTAACAATGGTTGTCGTCATACTTACCACTTACAGTATACACTTTTACACGTCAGCTGTAGTGCTATTCTGTAAGAAGAAACTGAATTTTCAGTGCGGGATTCGCGCCGGTGTGGTTTCAAAATTATTTGTTTAGTGAAAAGTGAATTGCTCTTACAGAATAGCTCTGCAGAAAGGAAACCAACTAAAAAAAATAGTGTGAACGGACCACACGTGTGAAGTGAAACTTCTTTTCTTAAATAACCTAACATTAGGCGGTGCATAAGGCATACGGGAATGGAGCAGTTTTTTTTTTAGTGTGTATGCTGTTGGTCGCAGATGACCTTTACAGCGTCACCGGGTTTCGGGACGACAAGATCCTTAGGGGACTTCAAGCCGAGAATTGGCGAGTGCCTCTACAGGTATTCCAGCAGGATGGCATCTCCCTACGGGGGGAGTCCTCGGCTCTAGTTAGCCGTAGTCGTGTTAACCTACAACTTTTATTACACACACACACACACACACACACTCACACACACACACACACACACACACACACACACTCACTCACTCACACACACACACACTCACACACACATATATATATATAGGTATGTGTACGTGTACGTATGACGCTCGTGACGCATTTCCGTTTCATCGTTTCCATGGGCTTTTTCCATTTACACCCCATCCGTAAAGAAGTTTCACTTCAAAAACTTAATACAATTTTCAGTTCTTTACCTTCTCAAACCTTCTCAGCCCTGACTATCATAGGTTACTCAGTTAGTCTTAGGCTCGTATTACAGAAAGACAACTAAGTGTTGATGTTTACTTGAGTACAGTTAGAAAGGGATGACGCTATGTGCTATATATAGCGACATCCCTTTCTAACTGTGTTAAAGACTAAATCAATCACTGAGAATCTTTCTATAATACGGGCCTTAGTCTGGTGTCGAATCGGGGTGTTTACATTTAATGTTCTTTTGTAGCGTAGATATTCAAAAGTGAAATTAATAAAAATCAGCTGCGGAAACGTGCGATTTCTAAAGTTACCGCGAACAACAAATACGATTTTGCAAAGAAACTGAATCAACTAAAACTGTTGTGGATGAAAAAAAACAAATTAAGTCCTAATGGCCAGCATCAAAGGTGGAGATGATGAAGGAGTGCGTGTGAAGCACGAACTGGATGGTAAAGTAGCTTCGGATTAACCCGGAACCAACTGAATGATCTGACTTAACTGACTGAAATTCGACAAATGAAAACTGCTAGAATCTATGTTAGTAATTATGACCTTCAAAACCTTCAGTTCACAAAATTTGAATACATGGTGAAAGTATCATTAAGAATTTTGCTGTGCTTCGTATTGGTCGACCGCACCGATACGCACGAATCCCGTAATAAGTTTTTTTTTAATTGCCTTTATCATGCCAGGAATTGCTCTCAATCAGTTTCAAAAGAGGATGTCTTTCATACTCTTCTCTACACATCACATCCGTATATTTCCAATCTTATGTACACATTGATATCAATATTTTTTTTATTTATGTTACTTATAAATTAATATGAACTAATATATTATATTAGTAGTAACTTTAAATATTTTATGAAATAAGTATTGATAATCATGAGATTTGATTACTTATTTAAAAAAGTGAGAGCTTTATTATTATTTCTTTAAAATAAATAAATATAATAATATGTTTCTATTTATCATATAAAAAGAAATGCCACTAAGGAAATAATATGAAGCCCATTTGTTAATCGGATTTTTTTATTATGAATACTCTAATACGGTATCAGCTGGATGCACTGGACTCGGTGGAACACCGTGCGAAGAGACTCATAGGCAATGACGCTCTCGTTGAGGCTAATCTTCAGAGCCTCGACCACCGAAGACGTGTAGCTTGCCTTTCGGTGTTTTATCGGTTACATTTCGGAGAGTGTGCGGAGGTATTACATAATTTGATCCCCCCTTCCCCTTTCCACCACCGGACGACCAGGCGCGGCGAGGGCTTCCACCCTTATGTTGTCGAAGTTCCTCCTATTCGCACGAAGCGATTTGCTTCGGCCTTCATTATACGAACGGCTAGGGAGTGGAACTCCTTGCCGAGGTCTGTTTTCCCGGACCAATATAACCTGGACATCTTCAAGGCCAGAGTGAACAGGCATCTTCTAGGCAGGCGTGTACCATCCTAGGCCTCATCATCGCTTTCCATCAGGTGAGATTGTGGTCAAACGCATTGCCTATTTAGCATAAAAAAAAAAAAAAATAAATAAAATTATAGTATCTGAACTTTATCTGAAACCTTATTTAATATTCTATACTACTGCATAAATTCAATGGTCTTATATGAAAAATAAAAAAGGTACTTACCGATTTTTGATCTGAAACACACCTTGATTTCCCGTAGTTCGGCTTGAAGATATTATACAGAAAGATGGAATTAATAAAAAAAAACTGTTCTATTAACTAATGATAATATCTGTGAAGCGTGGGTTTGACCAGTAAAGCAAGCAAGGGCACAATTTCGGCAAGATTTCGCAATTCGTTATCTAGGATAGTCAAGGCGCGGATGCTTCCACCGTTGGACAACCACCGGACATGGCGAGCGTGGGCTTATCACATCCGCGCACGAGCGCCGCGAACGCTCGCCTCGCCTCGTTACTACTATATAATTGTCCTTTTCACTGATCACCCAATAGGCACTCGTATAAATTTATTAGTCTTACGTAAATAAAGGTAACCACGGAAGACCAGCGTCGGACAGTCTACGACATCCAACACATGCTGCTTGTACTGCCTTTGCCTGACTAAATTATTGTATTTATGTAGAAGGTATATTGTTTCATGTATTAATTTAGTGACATACATTCTTTCTTTCTAAATTATTGTTGAGGAGCTCGATGGCGCAGCGCACGTACAATCTACGACGGACGGTCTGAAGGCCGGTGACCAAGAATATGCTTCGAAAAGCACGCTAGGTCGTTGGTCTATTTTTTTGAAGTTATACTTCTTTAGGCGCGTTATGAAAAAATGATGAGAGTGAAATTTCAAGATGCCGCGCATCACTGTAACACAAATAATTAACAGCATGAAGTTCACTTTTGACCAACTTCACTTTTGTGTTTACCTCACATTAAGAAAATCTAGCAACAAAATAGAAATAGAATCTCTATTTTGTGGGTGCTAACGACTGCATTGTGAAGGCCTATCAAAAGTATTTATTAATCTGGAACAACGGAACCAAAGCGCGATTCAGGAGACTACAGCGCCATCTCTTGACCATTGGTGTAGTAGAACCAAAAACCACATCTTTATTTTTTGTAATAAAGTAACAGTTATAGGTATTTATATTTATAATATTTATCCACATGTTTCTAGTTTGTATATTCAGAATACGTGTTTGAGTTTCATACAAGTGCAAATCACATATGTTCTAATAAATTATATTCAGTAGCGATTTTAATTGAATATTTTGATTATTTATTTATTTTTTCAAATTAAAACTGAACTTTATTGACTGTGTCCTTTTCCAGACTTTTTATTAATTTATTATAATTAATTATTTGCATGCAATTAAAAACTAATTTTAAACGATGCCAAAGAAGGATAACTTCTCACGCGCCTACATAAGTACACGCACCCATTTTTTTTATGTTATAGGGGGCATACGAGCAGACGGCTCACCTGATGGTAAGTGATTACCGTCCATGAACACTTGCAACACCAGGAGTATCACAAATGCGATGCCGGCCGTTAAGGAAGGAG